CATCTAGATACCAGAGAAGTTTTGAGACCACTCATACCAAGCCTGAAGAGGACACTTGGACAGAACCTAGGAACTAGATAACCTATAACAAGATAACAAGTGCCTTAGTAACAAAGTGGATGGGCTCAGGAATCTAGTGTTGACCTTTTTTAGGGGCACAGATATGGAGTAGTGAAAGAAAGAAACCATGCCCCAAAGCCCTTTGCGCTGAAAGAATCCTGACTACTACCGACTTCATCTCTACACTTAGGATCTTCAATTCCTTTATCTGAGATTCATACAGATGAGCATCTAAAGGATGGCAGTCCTCCCTGACCCTGGCATGCTCTAAACAAATGGGCTGTTGCTCATGATACACATGACATGATTTTCGTTGTTTTGCAGGGTATTGTGGTGTAGCATAGCAAGTGTGGAAGACAGTTAACAAGACAGATGAGCGTTTAAGAACTTCAAAGACTGTAGGAGATGATAGCAGAGCAGATGCGATAAACATTCTCATGAAGTGTCTTGTTAGTTACAGCTTGTCCACACTAACAGAACTTTTATAACCAGAAAAATTAAATTTATAAATGTCAAAGAATCATGCTGAAGAATACAAATATGGGGCTAGTAAAAAGAAATTGAATGGAAAGTACTAATTCAATCAAGAAACAATTAAGCAAAGTAAATTAAACCAACAAACCAGAAAGCAAACTCACTATTTGGCTGTCAAAACAGATGAACAGTGTCTGTTTTTCAGAGATCAGTAATATCAATGTCTGAGTCCAATAACTGCACCCAACCAAGCAACAGTCTCTCTGGAGTGAAGCCCCAGCCAGTGCCTGAGTGGGCGGGGTCTGCAACTACTCACAATGGTCCTGTGAGGTCACGAGAGGAAAACAACCAATCACAGCTGTCCACACACACACACACACACACACACACACACACACACACACACACACACACACACACACACACACGCAAAACCCAAACCAGAAAGTCCTCACTTTCTGTCTCCGAGGACTGCATTAGTGTTCTTATAACCATGACCAATTCCTCGAGAAGCAGCAGTGTGTGGGTGCTGCACAGGTTTTGCTATGGCTTAGGTTCTCAGAGGACTTGGGAACCCATGTCTGGGGACTTGGGAAGATGAGTCTGAGGCAGGTGCTTACATGGGTTTGGCAGGTCCCCTTGCCCTAATGACCCAATTCCCCCTGCTAGGTTCCACCACATGTGGTTTTACAGCCTCCTGATCGCACTCCTGCTGGAGACCAAGAACTCAGAGCCTCTCCCTTTCTAACCATGAGGAGGACATTTGGACTTCATCAGCAAGAACAACAAGAATGGACTCAGTCAGCTTTGTGCAGCCTGGGTTAGAGACATGGTTATGGACTAGACAGTGAACACACAGGCTTCTCCAAGGTTCTTGTCACTCAGAGCCTCAAATTCTCTAATGACACCAACTACTGCAGACCTTTTCATCTATATAGTCATGATACCATTCCTGTTCCTTACACTAATATTTACGGGCATCCAAAGGAGGCCAGCCTGTCTGTGACACTGGAGGCCATGAGGAAACGGTTGTCCCTCAAGTTTCCCCAGTACTGTTTGTGTCAGGAGTTGAGTGGTGGGCAGGGGAAAGTATAACCACAGGGAAAGGCCGACGGATGTAACAAAGTGGGTGGATATGCCCCAAGCCCATGAAAAAATCAAATTCTTTAACTTTTACAGCCAGTAGAGATTAACAGAAATTTTGGTAAAGAAATAAATCAAATGAACAAAATTCCAAAGATAAATGGATGGAGAATAAGAGAAAATGGTTGATAATAAATTGAGCTGAAGCACAGGCACAAACTAAATCTAAGTAAATAATACGTATAAACCTAATCCACTGGTCAGCACACTCACGATGTTCAGGTCAGTGGTGATCACAGTTGTTCAGTGTCAAAACAGACAATACGATATAAAGCTCTCACGACCAAAGTCTTGAGTCAAGTCCTCTGCAGTCAACCAACAGCTTCACTGCAACAAAAAGACAAAATCCAGGCCCCAGTCGTGCCTTACATGGGTGGTGGCTCTCATTCCTCACAATGGCTCCTTGTGAGCTCACCCACCCATCGACCAATCACAGCTAGACAGAAGCTGTCATATCATCTTTCTAGTGTTTTGCTCCAGGCTCCTCCCAAACCTGTGCCAACAGTCAGCTTCAGAGAGGCCCAGGTTACTTTGGCTCAGGCTTCCAGAGGATCAGGCACAGCCTGGTGCTGGGCTCTGCTGGTGGCAGTGGCAGCAGGGCCTGAGGCAACTGCTTTCACCATGGACTCTCCTCACGCTCAAGCTTATTTAAATATGTGTCACCTAGGCTGATCCTAAAATTCATTTCTCTCAAAACCACGATCCAGGTTCATCCTACAGAATGTAGTCTCACTGGTTCATATGCCTGCACACGTTCCTGAAATACTCAGAAAATGTAAATTTTCTTTTCTTTCAGTTTCTGTTTCTGCACACTTAAACTCAAACTTTACTCCTTCTCTAAGATCTCCTTCTTCCTGCCCTGTGCCTGTTTGTCTGTCGTATGTCTGACCTCCATGGGTAAAGGGAATATGTCCTTGCCACCATTTCTCTCTCCTCCATTACCTGCTATTTGGTACTTTCCTTTTACTAGAATAAAATTTTCCTCCAGTTAAAAAAAAAAAGAATCCTACATTCTCCTCCATGTTGCATTTCAGGATTAGATGGAACAAAACATGACTTTTTCAGGAGGCATCATTATAATTTCTGATTCTTCAGATACATGATGCCTGACCTGGGAATCTATACCTTTTGTTTTTTCAATTTCTTCCTAGTCTTATGCCCATTGAAAATTTTCATTTATCTTTAGTACAATGAAAAGATATTTAATATTTATTGTATATTGCTATACGCAATTAAAATGCATGTGTGCATAGGTAAATGTGCCTTAGGCACATATGGAGCTTGCACACACACACACACACACGCACGCACACACACAAATACATAAACACACACTAACTCTTCTACTAGCATTACACGTAGTAGAGGAGTAAAACTGAGCATGCTTAAGCCTGCAGCATGATGAAAGCTTTTACAATACTCGGTTTTGAAAAAATTATAAAAGGAATGTTGTCTCAATGTAATTAATCTGCACAGCTGACACGATTGTGTTGGACTTCTTACTGTGCTTTCTCTTAGTACATGCTAATGATACATAATAATGAGTTTCGGTATGACATTGTCATACATGTGAATGAGGTTTTTCTTACTTTTCATTAGCCTTTTACTCTCACTTGTCCCTTTCTCCTTTCTGCCATCAACTAGTCTCTCTTCTACTTTGTTGCATTTTTAATCATGGTTGATCATCCAGTAAGTTTGATTAGACTAATTGAATGGGGGTTTATTTACAGGAGTACGGGTTGTATGCTGGGAGCAGTATCTCTGCAGGAACTGTCTCTTTCATCCCTAATATCCATCACCCACCTAGAGATGCCGAGGAAGGGATGGAGCCTCCTGAGCCTCTGTGTCCTAGCAACTTTTCATTGCCTGAACATCCTCAGGATTTTTTGTATGAATAGATCCTTGCAAGATTTCTGGATTTCAGTTGCAGAGCCTCCTATTTCCTTTACTTCAACAAGAGAACTGGATTATCAGGTATGTGCTCCCACACCAGGCTCACACCTATCTTGTAAATAATCCTGGGGATTTTGTGTAATACACTGTCACCTGGATGTTCCTATGGATGAGGCAGCTTTGGGTGCAATAGAGGAGGATGGGATAAAACTCTGTGTCTTCATACAGTTGTCTTTGGTTCATAAGCAGGTACCTGAACCAAATCTGTTTTGAAAGGCAGCCATTCCGGAGCACATTAGAGCTTCTTGCCTATAATGTTGAGTAACCATTAGAGCCTAGGAAACTGCAGACAAGAGTCTCAGTCTGAGGGAAGTGTGGCTTCCTTAGCATGGCTCTGACTTGGGGAAGTGGCGTGAATTTGTCAGAGTTCACAGTAGAATGTTTGGGGATAAGAAGCATAAAGGCAGGCCGGGCATTGGTGGCACATGCATTTATTCCCAGCACTTGGGAGGCAGAGGCAGGCATATCTCTGTGAGTTCAAAGCCAGCCTGCTCCACAAGAGGGAGTTCTTTCTTTCTTTCCTTTTTATTATTATTTTTATTTAACTTTTTATACTTGTTACTCTCAGTTCCCTCTCCCTACCATCCTCCCCCGGCCCCCATCCTCCCAACCCTCCTCCCCACTCCATCCCCCCTCTGCTCCCCAGGGAGGGTAAGGGCTTCCATGAGGGATTTTCAGAGTCTGTCCTATCATCCCGGGCAGGGTGTAGGCTCTCCCCCATGTTTCCAGGCTGAGAGAGCGTCCCTTCATGTGGAATGGGCTCTCAGAGTCTATTTGTACACCAGGAATAAATACTGATCTATTCTCCAAGGTCCCATAGATTGCCGAGGCCTCTTCTCTGACACCCAGGTTGGGGGAGGGTGTCTGGATCAGTCCTGTGCTGGCCTCTCAGGAATCAGTCTGGGGTCCCTGCATTCCCCCTTGTTTAGGTCAGCTGCCTCTGTGGGTTTTGCCAGTCTGGTCTTGATTCCTTTGCTGGTAGCTCCTGTTTGCAACTGGGTTCCAGGAGTTCTGTTCGGTTTTTAGCTGGGGGTGTCTGCCTCTGCTTCAGTCAGCCACTGGATGAGGGTTCTAGGATGGCACGTAAGGCATCAATCTCATTATCATGGGAGGGCATTTAAGGTAGCCTTAATGGCCGTTGGTGTCACTAGTGCCAGATCTCTCCTCCAACTTATAATGGCTCCCTCTATTATGGTATCTCCCATCCACTATTATTACCCTGGCTCAACAAGAGCTAGTTCTAGGAGAGGCTCCAAAGTTACACAGAGAAACCCTGTCCTGAACCCCCCCCCAAAAGAGGCATACAAGTCCTCACACACACCCTGCCCTACTTCTCTCTTTGTTCAACTTCTGATGGAAGGCCTGAGGACTATGTGGCAGGTCCAGAGGAGGAAATATGGAAGTCACACTTGGCGTCGCGTCAAAACTACTCATCTGGGAATGCCAGGGTCACTGTTAAAAAATAGGTTTTCCCATAGCTAATACTCCAGCCCGGAGCTCACCACTCCACTCTGAATCCATATAAATTCAGAGCAAGGTTTCTTGTCATCAATATGGTTATCACATTAACTTTGCCTTTGATTCTGATTTCTGGGGCATGAAAGGTGAGCTTTTCCAGTTTTCCTTGTGCTGAATGGAGTCCCTGATGTGTTTCTGAGGAATTAGTGAACTCTCAGAACAATTGAGGAAGCTGGGGTTTTAGGAGAGAACGGGATCATGTGGCAACTATTTCTGAGGTAAAAAAAAACACAAAATAAAAGAAAACAAAAATGTAAAAGGGTTAGACTATGATTCTTTGTTCATCCAGCTTGTGCTGGAGGGAATGAGCACACTCTGGGGTAGACATGAAAATGAGTAGAGACTTGGATGGGCACTGGATTCTGAGTGCTGAGGGAAGAGAGTTCACCCTGGGCCTAGGGTTCAGGTTCAGGCCGCGGTTGCTGTAGTAGAGCATGAGTTGCACCTGCATGAGGTGGGTAGGGCTGTCTCTTTGTCTCCTTCTGTCTGCAGTTGACTTCACTAAGGAGGAGGAGATGTTGAACAAGAGAATAATGGAGTACTGGGCCAACTTTGCAAGACCTCCTATGGTTTTGTCTCCATTCAAGGCTCCCATGTGCATATGCCTCATTAGCACACACGGGTCCTCAATTACACCATAGCTTTCCTAATCCAGGGCACACTTAGACAGATACCTTCTAGCTCTCAGGTACTGCTCATCCCACAGTGATCTGGTTGGTGAGTCATAGCATGGTGATGCAGTTCTTTAGATTTTCCCTCTGAGAGGGAGTCAAAAAACCAGACATCTTCCCTTGCCTCATATGAACCAGACACTAGTGAGTGACACTTGTATTCTACATCAGGACACCAGTTCATCTGTCCCCTAGGCTCCTTGGACTGCTCATCTATTACTCTGACACACATCAAGGGGTCAGGCCTTGGATGAGAGTGACCTCACCCTTTCATGTTGGTGTCATATCCACAGGAACCCCAACAGTAAGGGTGTACCCTACTGGCCTGAGCTGGTTCATGATGATCAGTACCTGAATCTGGACATTCAGCCTGCTGTGGCCAAGCCCTGAAGGATAGAAAGCTGCAGTTCTGTACCAAGACTCTGCCCAGAAGATCTTCTACCCCAGCACAAGCATGGAGAGCTCCAGTGCTAGTTCCAGGAAGGGGTGTGTTTTTGAGGGCAGATGTGGTCATCCTGAGGTTTCAAAGTCCCTTTATGTATTTTTATTCATTCCAACTTTTGCACAAGCATTTTTGCCCTCAGCATTTGTCCTTTTAGTCACGTGTGACAAACCCCACTGTTTGTCACTCATCCTTCTGTCCACATTTTATTAGACTCAATATATGGTCCCACATCCATTCTCCTCTCATTCTCTTTAACACCTCACTCTTTTATGCTGTGTCCCTCCCTCCTCCCTTCCTCCCTCCCTCCCTTCTTCCCTCCATCCATCCAATAACCTTTTCCCCATTCTCTTTCTCATCTTCTCCAAGCCTCAGACCTTCTTCAAATTAATCAGAAGCTTCAGACACTGTTGCCTATAGTGAAGCCCATGTCCTCTCTCAGCAAGTTCATGTTTTCACATATTCCTAAGTTGGCAGCAGAAAACCTGAGTTTCCCAAACTGTATTGCCTTCTTATCTTCACAATGCTGTTCCCAATAGATAATAGACTACAAACTAGACTCTTAGTGTCTGTGGCCTGAGATCTTTACAGGCTGAGACAGGAGGATTACATATACCCAGGGCAAGATAACAAGACCACAGAAACAATAACCTCAGTAACTTACCAGCAATAACAAATGCTCAGGTTTTTTTTTTTTTATATTGAGAAATCCTTGCTTAGGACTCACACAGATCTGTTTTGTGGTGAGAAACATGTCGTTGGCTAGTTGTTTCAAGGATTACATGTTGTGCCCTCTGGTGGTAGAATGTGTGAACAATGGCATTGCATGGACAACATTGGGTCCCTGCTGAATTGAACTGTGGTCAGGGAAGATTTCCCTGTAGTGAGACTGACCATGCAGGTTGTTTCCATTCTATATGTAGAGCATTTATTGACTTTCATACTGCTAGCTTGTCTTTCTTTTACACTTCTGTATATACACACTAAACTTCCAACTGGGAGTTAAAATACATTTTAGACTTTTCATAATTATCTCATTTTTAGTAGCTTGCGTGTGTATTGTTTTTATGGGGCTAGAGCTCGATCTTAGGGCGTGTGTATGTTAGGCAAGTGCTCTACCCATAAGGTATATCCTAAGATTACTGTGGATTGTTTAGATGCAATTAATCTCTTTTAGATATATGGTTTAGTAAGTCTGAGAAAATTCTCAAGGCATGTAACTGCCCATCAGAGTTAGAATAACCCTCCACAACCTACCCAAGGATATCCTCAGGCCCTTGGGGTATTATTCACTACCTTTAGCCTGGTTTCAAAGTAACCATGGCATTACTTTATCATGTTATATTGGGGCTTGTCTGAAATCTAATATAAATAGATTTTTTGTGACTGTAAGTTACCTTGCATAGTATTTTTGTTTTCTTTCATTGTGGAATTGTTGGGGAATATTACTTTAAGGTGTGTGAGTTTTGTTTATGCTGCATTTGTTTAACTCCGTGAAGCTGCATTACTTTCCTCATCTAAAAACCCGATGGTTTTAATAAAGAGCTGAATGGTCAATAGAAAGGCACAAGCAAGGATATCTGGGGCTGGCAGGTAGAGAGTATAAATAGAAGGTGAAACAATGAAGGAGGAGCAGGAAGAGAACAAGGAGAGGGGGACATCGGGTGCCAGCCTCCCAGGCACCACAGAGCAAAAGTAAAAGTAAGATATTCAGAAGTAAGAAAGATTAAAAACCCAGAAAGAAAAGGTAGATGGGTTAATTTAAAGATAAGAAAAGTTGGCTAGAAATACATCAAGCTAAGGCTGGGCTTATTCATAACTAAGAATAAGCCTTCATGTGTGATTTACTTGAGAGCTGGGTGGCAGTCCCCCCCAAAAAACCCAAAAGAGTCAAAAACATCTTAAACAATATAATGACACCCAACATGGGACTTCAATTTGTTGTTTTTATTTTTAGATTGTTGATATCTTTAAATCAATGACTATCCTATTCAGCACTGCTACCCTGCTGCTACCAGCACAGCCTAGGCCACAAGAGCTGAACTCTGAGGGAATTTTGTTCCCTCAGACACTCACTCTTTCAAAGCTACTAAGGAAACCTATTTCATTTCTGCCCTGCTAAAGGACTCAAGATTCAAATGTTGAGGTAGAGTCTTCCTCAGAGAGACTGAATAGAAAGCAGCTCACCTAGATCATCTCCTCATTTCTCCCAAGAAGTCTTTGTGCTTTTTCTTATCCATCCTTATAATAAACCCTTCTCCACCTGGCTCCTCCGTACAACTTCCTGTCAGCTAGCTGCTGACCCAGTATCCTGACTGCAGGTGAATTTTATTTAATCAAATCTGTACATCATTAAACAAATGACCCAGAGCATAAACAAAAGTAACACACCCGGGGGTATAGCTCAGTGGTAGAGCATTTGACTGCAAAAGTTACACACCTTAAAATAATATTCTACAATATGGAATGTCATCCAAATGTGCACAGTACACATTCTATACACTTACCAAATCTATGTACCAATTAGTCACTTTCTTATTTGCTCTTCTTTTTTGGACAAGGTGGGCCCAGAACTCATAATCACAGTGTCTTGGCTTACCAAGTGGTGGAATTACATGTATGGACCTCCATTTCCAGATGTGGGTTTTAATACAGCTGTTTGGTATTCTTACACATGATTTCATGGTATCAAATTGGATACCATGGATTCAATTTTTGTATTGGCAACCTAGATCAGAATTGCTAAGTTATGAGACACATGTATTAAACAATATAAGAAGTTGTAAGGCTATAGAGGTATCTCTGTGGTAGAGACATTGCCCTGTATGTACAAAGTCCTAGATGTGATACCCAGCAACAGAAAATAAAATAAAGCCAGATCAGATGACATAACCCTGCCATCTTAGCTACTCAGAGGGTTAAACCAGGGACCACAAGTTAAGACCTTTCTGAGAAGTAGATCAAGGTCCAGACAAGGTGGGAATTTTAGTTATGGTCTTTCTCCACATGGAAAGTACAAAAATTATAAAAACCCCTCCAATTTGAATTAGTGGGCTAATTAAATACAGGGGGTAGAAAAAGAATGAGTAAGAGGAGGAGGAAGATGAGAAGGAAAAAGAAGAAGAAGGAGAAGAAGAAGTAGGAGAAGGAGAAGGAGAAGAAGGAGAAGGAGAAGAAGGAGAAGGAGAAGAAGAAGAAGGAGAAGGAGAAGAAATAATGAAATGGCAAGGAGAACATGGTGGGGCCTGAGGGTCTTGAGAATGATAGTACTAGGACTGCATATGACACATTGTATTCACATATGAAACTACAAAAGAATAAAAAATCCCATGGTTCATGGAATACTGTCCAGTGGTAGATTACTTATCTGAAATGTGTAAGACCCTAGATACAATTCTCTGTCTGTTCCTTAGAAGCTTTGGGGTAACTGTCTACACTGAAGCTGATTGACTGTCAAATTTCCATGTCCATTTCTTACCAACCACCAAGTCTTCTCATATCTACAAATGACTTATAACACTTCTGCAGAGCCACAGCCCTACCATGGGGTAGGAAGCCCGGAAACTTCTCCGGTAAGAGACATACTTAGATTAACAATTATGGAATAAATACTTAAGTTAGAGCTAGCCAGTAAGAAACAAGCAAGGCCAACAGCTTCATAATTAATATAGCCTCCTGTGTGTTTATTTGGGACTGATTCGGCTCTAGAACCAGGCTGTCGGGAAGGCTTCTCTCAAGGAAAAGGTTTCCCTTTACAATTTGTGATTTATTAAAGCTTGCCCCAGGATTCAGAAAGCAAAGTCAGCCATAAGCTATAGAGCTCGGCAGTGGTGGTACATACCTTTAATCCCAGGACTCAAGATTAAGAGGTAGTCAGATTTCTGTTAGTTCAGGGCCACACTGAATACAGGAAATTGATCATTACCTAAAGGAATACAGCTTACAAGGTGATCTCAGCACCTGGGATCTTTAATCCAAGCACTAGGGAGGTGGAGACAGGCTTAGGTTATTATGTTGTTTGTAAATTTTTGACTGCTAATGAGATAGTGATATCTGCTAAGAGACATTTGATTATGAAAGCTTGTAGAATAAACCAAAAGATATGTTCCTTTGTGGAAGAGATTATGCAGAAGAGATTATGCTTTTACTTCCACAGGAAATGAGAGGCTGTGGATTCACTCCAGGTTGATATGGATCAGGTTTGATTATGTAAGATCTCATGAAAATCCTGGCTATAGACATAAAAAAATAAACCTAGAAAAACTACAAAACTTGAAATGTATATTTTACCTGTTCAATCATAAAACAAAAAATCAATTTTGTCTAACTTATGTACAACACACAGTCTATACTTGTATTAATAAAGCAATTCATGTTACCTTTAAAAGTTTATATATTTTTAGGACAAGGAGACTAGACACCAATGAAAATAACTGGTCCAGGATATGCAGCATCTCAAAATTCCTCTGTTACAGTCTCCTCAGAATTCTGCATCCAAAACAGCTTCAAGAATACTGGTTGAGATGATCAAGGCTCACACACTACTCCAGTGGAGATCTAATAATTATCCTAATTTTCTCAAGGTTTGTCCAAAGATAACAGTGCCCACAGACAACAGGAAGTAGTCTAGAGGATGGGACCCACATTTCCAAAGGATGGGGTATGGTTGGCAAAAGGGGTAAGCTAAACCCAAAGGCTTCATTTTTAATAATTTAAAAACAAAGGGACCAGATCCTCACTTAGCCTCCTGCTTTAACATCCATGACAGGCTATGGAAAAGACACATAGGCCTCTGACACAAGGAAATTCCAGATCCCCTGTCTTCCCAGAGCCTAGGGCCATAACTGAACACATAGAAACTCCAGACCCACCCTCCAGACTCCTAGGTACCTGGTTTCTGGGAACTAGTTGGCCACAAAAGAAACTCCAGGGGGAACAAAAACCTCCCCTCTATTCTCCAGGATACAGTGAAACTATTGGTATCTATGAAAAACAGGCTACCTGCAAGTAATAAGACAAAGTCATGGAAACCACAGAATGTTCCCTCTCAGCACTAACCAATTAGAATAATTGGTACACAGGTATTTCATGCCAAAATATAACTTTGAGAAATTCT